GCAATTTGGCGTTCTGTGTGCTTTTTTGTCTTTTGATTGATTTTGATTCTTTTGTACTCAGGATAGATTTTAGAACTGATGATTGTAGTGTAGTTCCTGAGTATTGTACATGACTTTTGAGTTATGAATCGACTTGTATATTGATGTTTTAAATTTTATAGATGTTTTATAGACTGGTTAATTGAAGGTTTTAGATAACTCTGGTAAATTGTTTGAGTAATTGATTGACATTCTTTCCAAGTTTGATCTTGGAGCATCACAGTAGTCGACCCAACCTGACCGAAGGGTCATTGTCGGCATCCATGGGTTACTTTGTACAATTATACCTTGTAGACATTGGGTGAATGTTTGTCTGAGGGATGAATTCAAGTCAACCTTAGCTAACAGAGGGCATTTAGGACATTTGTCGGAGCACATATGGTAAATAAAAATCTTCTTTTAAATCAACATGCACATTTTTTTATACTAAAATAAACTTCTTGAGATGGTTGCACTCTTCTTAGGGTTGTCGCATCCTTCTTGAGGCTGCTGCATGCTTTTGAAGGCAACAAGCAAATGTTTAAGAATTTGTATTTTAATGCATGAGGGGGATTTTAAAAGTATTTAATTTTTCCATTTGTGAAAATGATTTTCATTGGAGTGTGCACAACATTTTATTTAGGGGCTTACAAATGTCTTATGTCTGCTTATGCGAGTGTTACGGATTCAGTGACGTGAAACATATTAGATTTTAGTTGTTACATATAGGAGAGATATTGTTTAGTTTATTTTGCCTCCTTCAAGTTATCATTTAACACAGTTCTTAGAGGATGCTTGTTCAATCAACACTAGGAGATCATATTCATTGCTTGTAGACGAGCTCTATTATTTGCTATGAATCTCCTATTTTTGTTTGTAAGCTAGTTGTTATGTGCACCACCAATTCCCTACTCTTGCTGACATGTTTGTGGTTCTCTGAAATAACACCGCTCGGCGGGAAACAAAGTGAAAATGGTACGACCACACTATCTCATTAGACAAAACAGTCGCAGACCTTTGCACTTTTCACAAGTGGGCCAATAGGAGGGCAGATGAAATCATACATACGATTAACCATTGAGGATAATGGCTTTCACACACGCACCTTGATGGGTAATAATATATGTGACCTGATCAAAGTCACAGGATTTCCCCCACCCGATACATCAGCTTGAGTGGGGTTTATTTGATACGAGATTCGATTTCTCACAAGCGTAAGCCTCGTGGTTAATTACATCTTAAGTCGGGGCCTAAGAAGACTATTGATTAAGGGTTATACATTATTCTTTTAGATGGGATTGACGCATAGGGACTAGTCTAGGAACTTCATATTCAAAGGGAAAGAAAGGTTCAACTTGGCTTAGTCAACATACATGACTCATATCATCATCCAGAATGACTAAGGTAGAGGAAAGAAACTGGAGAAAAAGACAACACTGCACTCTGAGCATACAAAAGAGAAAGATGGAGGTAGCATCATCCATGTGATACAGATAGATGAGATTTATAACCTCTGAAGGATAGATGACTTACCCGTCAATGAGGCATACTATAGGACGCCAATAGTAGTAGCATTAAACCCTAAATCTATAGTGGGTTTAGTATTCTACACACAATACTAACACTCGTAACATAGATAATGTATTATGGGCTTATATCCTGCCTGAAAAGGAAAGCCAGCTAACCACTTAATCGTGTAAAATTCATGTTGTCTGGTCTTTATGAAAGATGGGTGGGTGGCTAAGTTTTTTTTTTTTTTTTTGACATTAAGGTCGATGTCTAGAGAGGTTCCTAAGTGTCCTTATACTTATGAATGGTAGTATGCTTATAAGACTAATGCAATTAAATTTTGATTTTAGTTAATTTCTAATGTAATGCATGTTGGTTAAAGTCTCTAAATAAAGAATGCTTGAAATTTAAAAAATAGGATTATAAAAATAATTTTTTAGAAGACTAGGCTTCCCAAGTTCAACATCTCATCCACATATGTAGGATTATTTAAATTCTACATGTATGCGGAGAAGTGTCTAAACAAGGAGAGAGAAAAATGCATTAAGATGCATGTGACCCCGGATGATATTGGACTTATTCTCTAGATCGTTATCTTTTTATGTTATTTAATTCTTAAAATTTTAGTTTTAAATTACGGGTAGAAAAGTTTTATCTCTAAAGAACCTAGCAAAATCAATCACATACACATGTAAGAAAAAATATATAAAAAGTATGTCATTTATACTACGCAAACAAAATAAATACATTAAAATAAAACCATAAAAAAGAATATCCGAAGTCCATGTCAAGTGTCATATAATATACAATCCATGATCTGCAGAAAAGTAATGATGGTCAGGCTCCACCGATAACAACCTGGATTTTAATCCTATAGCACGATGCAAGTCTTAAAATGGGGCCTTTTTAATCTTGATCTTAATCTTATAGCTCTTATGTGGATCACTTTTCTTCAGTCTTCTTATGGTTCGTTTTCAATAGAATATAAAAATGAAAAAAAATTTCCCATAACGGGACTTTCTTTTCTCTTTGGAACCCTAGTAAAAATGCCACATTTTATAAACTTTCGCAACTCTTTACTTCAAATACATTACATCAGAAAAAAAAATCTAAACTCGCATACAAGATTATCATAAGCAGTTAAAACAAAATATTCCAAGCAATTATATATAAAAATAAATGTATTCATGTCAGTCACACTTTACCATGCTCTTATTTATTTGGGGGCTAAGCGTTTGAAACACCTGTAGCAATTATATATATGATTTATTTATTTTAGCCCCCTTTTTAGCTCTTCATTAGCATGGCCACATGCATAAAATATCGTTAGTATCAAAATCATTTCTAACCTATGAGTAATTTATTGCCCATCACATCACAAAGAAAATATAATCATAAAAATCATCATAATAGTAATTATTAAAGAAAATTAGAGCAACAAGTACACATGCCATATGCAAATCATCACATCACAGAAACAAGAAGAAAAGAAAATATCAGTCTAACCTAGAGCTAGAAGTCATGTTCTAGCAAACAATTATATGTGTGTGTAATAGACCGTGCGGTCTTATATATGTCTTATATTGGGTAATTAGTTCAAATTATTTGTGATTTGTTTTGTTGAAGGCCAAAAGGAAATTTTAATTAAAATTTAAATATTAATGATTTTGAGGTCAAATTTAATTAATTTAGTTGGTTGATCAATTTTAATGCTTAGGATAATGTTCTCTAAAATTTAAGTTGAGTTGGTGAATTTTAGAATGTCCGGGGTTATCCTATCTACTAGCTCAAAGGGGTCTAAAGTTGACATTTAGAAATAGGCTAAGCTCTATGGGGTTTTAGTATTTTTATTAAATATTAGATCTTATGGGGAGTAATTAGCCTTGGAGTTTATTGTATTTGGAGTTTTTTTACATAAAGTTATGATTTTTCAAAGTTTAGGTATTTTAATGAATTATTAAAATTGCTTAATCAAGGGCATTTTAGAGATGAAGTCCAAACCTCTTGTGGTCACTTCTTAAGGTCAGGAATATCCTAAGAAAGTGTTTCCAAGTGTTTGGGACATTTCAAAATTTTTTAATAATTTTCAATTAATTAATTCAATTAAAAGTGATTTTTAATTGAAATTAAATTAGTATTAAAATTAAGGTCCAATTAAGGGGCTTTTAATTTTCTTGGATTAAGGATTAAATTATGAAGAGTTTTATATATTATTCATAATTTTTGGGTTTGATTTGAATTTATTATAATTTTTTGAATTTTTTAGAGTTTAATTAAAAGGGTAGATTAGGGTTAATTAATTAACTTAAATGGTCCTAAAAATTCTTAAGAGTTTGATATGTTACTAAGTTTAGATAGTTAAAGTTTCATGATATTTGGAGGTGTATCCTAATTCTTAGAATTTCTCTAAGTTTTCTACATGGGTCATTAATTATTGACCTTAAAGTGTTACTAGGTTGAATGGGTTCAAACTAAATGTCAACGACTAACCCTTAGGTAACATAAAGAAAACGTAACACATCATCATAAGTCATTTTCTAAGAATTATGAGAGCCTAGGCTAAGTGCTCGTGCATCCTAAACATGCAAAGATTAAATGATAATTAATATATGACTAATGATGTGATTGGTGAATAATTAGAGTTCAATCATTCACTAATCCTTTCTTATGAATTCTTTTTCAGGTGCTCAATCTATGTTTAAAATATCTTTTTTTGAGAGATCCACTGGTCATCCAAAATTAATTTAAAATAATTCAAAATATTTTTTTTAATTTTGAAAATATTTAATATAATATTTAATTAACTAATATTTAAGTATTTAAGTAATTAAATAATAAAAAATTAAGAAACATTAAATTTTAATATCTGAAATTAATTTTAAATAAAAATTCTTATTTTTTTTTATTTTAAAGAAAGTATTTAAAAAAATTAAAATAATTTAAAATATATAATGTATTTTAAAATAATTTTAACTTTAAACTAAATGTTATTAAATTCTAAAATTTTTGATATATTATATGTATTTTTTGGATTTAAATTTTAAATAATTATTTAAAGAAATCTTATTTAAAAAAAGATTTAAAATTAATTTTAAAACTAATTTTAAATAAAATAGCGGCGGTCAAACTCGCGGCGGCCTTTGATTGGCCCTTTCAAACTGTGGGCAATCATTACCAACGATTGTGATATGGCAATGATTGCGGCGGCGCAGGAATCCGTGCCGTTGAACTTAACCATGTTAGAAGCGGTGCGGAGCCATCCGATCATTCATGGTTTTGGTTCAATGGCTCTCTCGCCGGACAGAGCAAATGACCGCGGGATCGAATCCGCAGTCGACCAAATGTCCTGGAACGGATTGATCCGAACCATTGATCGCGTGATCAACGGTTCATATCTTACGTAACTCCAGGGCTTCATAGCTCAAACCCTAAAGTGATATTTCGCCTCATTCTCTCGATACAATAGATCAAACTTAATAAAATTTTAAATATATGTAGCATTCATGCAGAGCATTCATTGGGGACAAAAATCATGGTCTAAAATGCACTGTATTAAATGTTATTTAACTCTAAGTGTGCTAACCATGGGTTTAAGATTTTACCTAATTCAATGGATGGATTAGGGAGTTCTTGGTCTTATTGCATTTGCAAACTATCCACGCTCCTTTTTGTAGAAGAAATCGCGTTCTAAAATGCTATGGATCGACGAGAACTCGCCTTGGAAGGGATTAAGCCTCGGTTCACCGGAGATCTCACCGCCGGTGAGGCCTTGACGGTGGTTCTTGCTTGGGAGAGGTGGAGGGAGACTAGGGGGAGCTCACACAAGGAAAATCTCGGGCTTGGGGATCTTTGGGAAGGAATAGAATGCAATGTCCCCTCTCATGAAGCCCTAAGCCTCTATTTATAGTCTTAACCCTATGATGGATGGCTAGGATTGTTTCTAGGGTTAATTAGAAGGGATCTAGGCTTCCTTGTCTGCGATTTGGGTTAAGGGGAGGTTTGGAAGAGTCTTAAATGCTCAAGGGGGCATGAATATGACCTAAATTGGTCAAATTTGACCAAATAAGGCTTGGGTTGATCAAGCCAAGTGTTGACTAGGTCAACATGGTCAATAAAGTCCAAATGGATGAGTGATTGAGCAAAGAAGGCATTGAAATTGATTAAAACTCAAATAAGGATGATTTGGGCTAGTTTGGTCAACCAGGGATTGAGCAAAGAAGGATTTGAAATTGATTAAAACTCAAATAAGGATGATTTGGGCTAGTTTGGTCAATCAGGTTGACTCAGGACTTGGGTCTAAGCTCAACAAACTTGTTTTGACTCACTGAACCTAATGAAGGTGGACTTAGGGTTTGGCTTGGTCATTGTGATCATGTGAACCCCCTTGACCCAAATTTAATGAAAAATCAGGTCAACAATGTGAAATATAGTGTTCATTATAGGTCCACTGATGTTGCTCATAAGCTAGTATATTAATTGCCTCTTCCCTGTCATCACTTGTAGGTGAGTTAATGTATTCGTTATAAGCCCTTATTTTTGCCAGTAGGCAAGTAGTTGTGTTTACAAGTCCTCTAATCGTGTCCGTAGGTAAACTACATTTAGTGCAAATCCTCTATTGTTTATTGGGTCGGTTGTACTGCATTTTACACATCTCTTGTCTATGCCTATAGGCAAATTATCACAATCACAATGAGTTCTTAATGTCTACCTCTAGACTAGTTGTTATGATCATTGCAAGTACCTGATCCTTATAAGTCTCCTGTAGTCAACTATAGGGAAGATGTCATATTACAAGTTTTTTATTCGTGCATGTAGGCAAGTTATCATATGTTGCCCCTTCTCAACCTTCTAACTTTATGAATTTTATTTAGTTATAAGTTAACTTAAATGTTCATTTAGGTCCAGTTCCTTATAAGTTCATTTAAGTCTTTATTTTAGCTACATTTTTAACTGTGTATGTAATATATAAATTTTCTAGTCTAATAATAATTCAGACAAAATTTTGGAAGCCTCATAACATCTCTCTTGCATAAGGGGAATTTTAGGAGAGCTAAGCCTACCCATTATGTTATGAAAAGCGAGTATAGTTGGTGTTAACTAACACTGTGGTCGATATCTTTAAATTCACCATACAACAAAAAGCTTGTATGGTTCTTTGAGATATCTGCATGAAAGCTCACAATTTTTTTTGTCGGCCTAAAAGTGCGTACGAGTGTTTAGGAGTGTCCCCACCACGCTAAGAAAAGCTCATACATGGCCTACCCACTTCGCTGCTAACATTGTATTTGAGTTTCCTCCTATCATGATATGAAAAGTGTGTACAGGGGGTTGCACATTACACCATAAATTTCAACAACATGATTTAAGTTTTTTGAGATTAGCGAGTATTATCCTTAGCAAGAGAGGCACTGGTGGCGGTGTTGAGATGAGATGATGAGGGGTTAAAAATACAAAACTGTTTTTTTTTTTCTTTTATTTAAATCTCTTTTTTCTCTCTTTTTTTACTGTTTTTTTTTTCTTAACTAATAATAATAATAGTCAAGATAAATTTAATAATATATATTTGGTGAGGTGTTCGATGAGACTTGAGAGGGCTGGTTTTGGAGTTGTGTAGGTATTGCCTTCTGTGTAGTGGAGTTGGTTGCAGTGAAAAGAGTTACACAGGTAGGGATGTTGAGTGGAGAAGTGAGGAAGATGTATTGGAGGAAATTTGGTTCGATAATCTAGGTGGCTGGTTGTAGTGGAGAAGAGTTAGTGGTAAGAGGGAAGTTTTGTTGGCTGTAGGTAGACGGGTGGAGAAAGCTGTAGTAGTTGGTGCTCAAACATAGGGCTGTTGAGAGGTGTTCACGGCAGCAGGTAGCTGGGTAGTACAATGAGATGGCATGAGGGAGTAGAAGTAGGGCTGTTAAAATCGGGTCACGGGTCGGAACTTGACCCGTTTTTGAAAACATATCAATTTTTCAGATTTGAACCCAACTGCTTCGGGTTCGGGTCAACCTGACCCGACATGTAAGCGGCAGCGGCCTTCCGTTCTCGCAAAATTTCCGGACTAGAAAGGCGGCAGAGGGAGCCTCCAGGAAGCGGCAGCGGCACGACAGCAGTGACGCAATAAGCGATGCCCGCACGACGGCGGACGTGAAGAGACATGCAAGTTCATGAACCGCAGGCATGCGTGGTCAGACGTGAGCAGAGGCTTTTTGCTCGGTCATTCCGGATCACTCTCAGGTTTCCGGGCCAACTTGAACACAATCTGATTTTACAAACGGGTTGAAATTCCTAACCCGAACCTGAACCCAAAATTTTCGAGTTGATTTCAGGTGGGAATACTGGGTCGTACCAAATATTGACACCCCAGTGGAAGTCGGGAGAGGAAGTCAGTTGGAAGAAGGAGGCTCAAGTGCGGGGAATGGAGAGGCTAGAGAAGTCGGAGGTTCGGTGTTCATGTGGTTTTGATCGCAGCAGGCAAGGGATAACTTGTTCGGTGAATAGTTTGGGTAGAGGAGGAAGGTGGAGACAGGCTACGACCTATTTGGTTCAAACAGAGGAATGGAGCAGAGGGTGAGCTGGGATGTGTGGGTCATTTGGAGCGAGGAGAGGCAAGCTGGGAGCAGCTCTTTGCGGCTGGAGCGAGTAGGGTGAGTGGAGAGGAGTTCGTGCTGGTTGCGTTAGGACTAAGAGGAGAATAAGGGAGATGGAGGTTTGGTAGGAATCAAACAGAGAGGGAGAAGGGTCAGAGGGAGTTCAAGTGTATTTTGCTTATATAAGTTCATCTTCAATCGAACTGCAAACAGGCCTTTACAGCTGCCGCAAGCCTCCCACCCAAATTCCAAACCCCAAACCCCAAACGCAAACACATTATTTTCATTTTTCTCCTCCGTGAATAAATAAATGTCAATATTGACAGCACATTTTTTAGAAGTTAATAGAGACTTATTTTTTAGAATAAAAATAGGGTTGAAGTAGAGTTTGGTTGGAGATGAATTAACATTTGATATGAATGTTACTGTATTTTGAAATGAAAAATCAATTTTTAGGTTGTAGATGCCCTAATTGAATAGAAAGTGGAGATGATTTTACCTTAACAGAGATTTTTTATTTTCACTGAACTGACAGATCTAGGATAGGGCAACTGCTGCAGCAGGATTTTAGTAGTGTAAACCTTGCAGTATCTATATGCAGCAGGATTTTCGAAATGCAAGACATTTGGTCAACATCTCATATTGTTCCATCTGTAGTTTGTTAATTTAGATCTTCCATTGTGAGGGATCCCCTCTTATGTAAATTTGATGCCCCGAATACATCACATCGGCTCAATCCATTTGATGATTTGAATTCATGAGGATAATTTTATGGAGTATCGTGCTTGCCAACCATTATTTTTCATCGTCATTTTCAATTGAGCAACGCACGAATGGCTCTTCTTTGATATATTCAATGCTTTGGGTGCATCAATGTGATCTGTTCCACGATAGAATAAAATTTCGAATTATCCGTTGTTCGCCTTCCTCAATGCTCTCAATTGATCTTGAAATATATATAAAGGTAAAAAAATAGCAAATTGCCTATTGGCATGCAGGTTACATCAAGGAAAGATCAGCAGCAGTATTGGGCACGTGACGAAGAACCTTACAGATATGTAACTGCAAGAGAATTCTCAGAAGCATTCCAATCATTCCATATCGGTGACAAATTAACGAAGGAGCTTGCTGTCCCATTCGACGCGAGAAAGGGACATCCTGCAGCTTTAACAACTTCAAAATATGGTGTGAGCAAAAAGGAACTGCTAAAAGCTTGCATCTCAAGAGAATTATTGCTGATGAAGCGCAACTGGTTTGCATATGTTTTCAGAGCAATTCAGGTCAGTAAAATTTGCCTTTGACCTTAGTGTTTGAATTATATAAATGATTGAATCTGGCGTTTAAATATCTTAAATGACTCTCAACAGCTACTGCTTTTAGCATCTATTGCAATGACGCTGTTCCTAAGGACAAATATGCACCGTGATTCAGTCTTGGATGGTGGAATTTTTGTGGGTTCATTGTTCTTCTCTATACAGACGATCGTGTTTAATGGGCTCACAGAGATTCCATTGACAATTTGGAAACTCCCAGTCTTCCTCAAGCAAAGAGACTACCTCTTCTATCCTGCATGGGCATATACATTACCTTCGTGGATTCTGAAGATTCCCATAGCTCTAGTTGAAGTTGGTACCTGGGTGTTTGTCAGCTATTATGTTATAGGTTATGATCCTAATGTTGGAAGGTGATGATGCATTACGATATATGCTTTAGTTGGCCTTCCTAGAAGGACGAATGTGTTACAGCATTTAACAAAATAAAAAAAAATGCAGGTTTTTTAAACAGTATTTGCTGTTTTTAGCACTCCAACAGGCAATGTCTGCGTTCTTTCGTTTAATTGCTGGATTGAGCAGAGACATGGTTGTTGCTAATTCTTTAGGATCATTTGCACTGCTTGTGGTCGTAGCATTGGCTGGATTTGTTCTATCACACGGTACATTCCTCTGACTTTACACTCTAAGAGTCGATTGAGTTATCTAGCATAAGCTTGCCATAGGTCATTTTTGAATACACCAAAACTATCAAGTATGTAAAGTTGCTATTCATCCACCTATCTGTGTTATTCCACTTTTATAGATGACATGAAGAAATGGTGGATATGGGGCTACTGGATCTCACCTATGATGTACTCCTTGAATGCTCTAGCAACAAATGAGTTCCTTGGGAAAAGCTGGAAACATGTAAGAACTGTCATAATGTAATGCAGCATTTGCTCCTTTATATGAGTCTAAATGTGTCAAATATAAATGAGTTATGGTAGGCTCTTTTTGCTAACTCGAAACCGGGAAAAGAATGCCAAGATTTAACTCGAAACCGGGAAAAGAACAACGAAGTCACACCAAACCAAGAAATTCACTATGAAAATGAGAGAAATTGCAGATATCTTTTTTCTCACACTCTCTTCTTGTCTCTCTTCACTTCTCATACCATTCTACTCTCAAAACAGACAAAGATATGCACTTCTATTAAACAAAAGGATGCACTTTAAGTGAAATAAAAGGACAAGAAAGAAAAACTATTTAGCCTAACTAGCAGTGTTGCGGCACTATACGTACAATGCCTTGGCATTGTGAACTACAGCGCCTCGACACTGTAACTACAGCACTGCAGCATTGTGCTTTCTATCCAAATAATTTTCTTTCCAAACCTAGGCCTAAATCAAAGTGAATTAACTCCAGTCTCTTCCATTGCTGTCCACAAAATTTCCCACCCTCACTTTCATGCTCACGTGCACCCAATAGGAGAAAACGACTGAAATTCATCTCCCCAGCTAGCTGTCCAGATTTCTGGACAGAGTCAAGTTGCTGTCTTGAATTTTTGGACGAATCCTGCACGCCATCCAGGGATCTCCATCCTTACAAGTTGTTGTCCAAGACTCCTAAGACCCAAAACCTGCTGTCCAGACTTCTTTGGGTACTGTCCAGACCTCACGAGTTGTTGTTCAAGACTCCTAGGACTCAAAAACTGCTGCTTAGACTTCCTTGAGGTGCTGTCTAGAGATCTTGGCTTGCTATTCAGGACATTCCAGCAAAGTATAGTGCCCCAACTGCTGTCCAAAACTCCCTAGCCATTTCAGATTGCTGTCCTAACTTTGGAGACTAAGGAGGTTTCTGATCTGAGGCTTCCAATGACTGCCTAATGCTCGATAATGGTGAACTATTTCAGTAATCTCTTATATTCCTAGTTATCCTACTATGTGGCTTAATCAATTCATAAGAAGCTTGTTAATTACTCTCCACTAAAGCCTTAGAAATTAGAGAGTTGATTGAGCAGACTCAAACATAGTGACTAGTTTTTGTTGTTAAGAAAGGATTTTTGTTGGAACCAATCATGTATGCAACGTCAAATTATTTGACTAGTTTACAGTCTTAACTTCCACGCATGTGATTTGGCCAAAGCTTATTTTATCACCTTATCGTTTTATCTTAGCGTTTAAATCAGCATAAGTTATATTTAATATTGTTATCTAAACATTAAGCGTGTAAATTTCTTAATCTAATCATCCTTGCATGTACGTTTCACATCAGTTTCCACAGTGGCTTGTGTTGGATTTACAACATCACAACATTGAGCTCCTTGTCAAGCTTGATTGACACATTTAGGTCTGAGCCAATAGTACAACCTGATCGATCAACACCAAATGAGCATGCATACATAAATAACTACATCATATACCCGTGAATTTTACTGTCATTCATCATCAAATCTCGCGCGCGTGTGTATATATATATATATATGTGTGTGTGAATGAATGGGATAGGAAACAGTTGTAGATTTCCAACATTATGTATCAATCTTGGAAAATCAACGAGAAAACTCCACCAAACTCCAAGAAAAAAAAACAATACATATTTTTGTATTATTGGATGAAAGGAAAGGGAAAATACCAAGATATAATTGATCCTCAATTCGAGAGGAGGATCTATCTCTCCCAATTCTCTAGACGCCGCTAGAGCCCAAGAATGTCAAGCACTAAAAAAGAAATCAATCACCAAAAGGATGCCCTAACCATAATACAAACTTCTACTTAAAGCAAATAACAAAATAATACAAAAGGACTAAACAACCCTTCTTTATAATCCTTTAAGAAGTGGACCCCACCCCAATAGGGGGGGTTTTGAGGCCGACGACAACAACAAGCTTGCTCCTTCTGTAAGTTATATGAATAATCCGCTCCCAAAGAACCACCTTGTCCTCAAGGTGGAAAGATGGGAACTGATGTCTCACCCTCTCGTAAGCCTCTCATGTGGCTTCGTAGTCTGATAGCCCCTTTCATTAAATCAGAACCTCCTTAATCCCCTCTCCTCCCTGACGAACCCCCATCAACTCCAATGGTTTTAATATTACCTCAAAGTCTTTTGTCAGTGTCTCTGGTAGCTCAGAACTAGCTGCTTAATCCCTGATTGCTCTCCTCAGCTGTAATACATGGAACACTGGATGTATAGTTGCCATTGGGGGTAGTTTGAAATGATATGCTACCGCTCCAATCTTCTCCAAAATCTCATATGGGTCAAAGTACCTTGGGGAAAGCTTCTCATTCCTCCTATTGGCGACCGTCCTCTGCCTGTAGGGTCATAATTTTAAGAACACCCTCTCCCCTATGTTGAACTGGATGCCCTTCCTATGCCCATCCGCCTGCTTCTACATGATCGTGCTATGTTGCCCAAAATGCACCAAGTGTGATGGATCTCGTCTGTACAACACTTTGAATGGGGCCATCTGAGAGGTTGAATGATACAAAATGTTGTACCAATACTCCTCCCATGCTAGCCACTAGCCCACAGCTTAGGTGTCTCTGACACAAAATATCATAGGTATGTCTTCAGGCTCCTATTTATCACCTCTATCTGTCCATCTGTCTGAGGGTGATAAGCCGTGCTCCTCTTCAGTACTGTCCACTGCATTCTGAACAGCTCCCTCCAAAAGTGGCTGAGGAACACCTTAGCCCGGTTAGATACTATAAACTCAGGTATCCCATGAAATCTGACCACCTCTCTGATGAATGTTGCTGCAACTGTCACTACAATGTAAGGGTGTCGTAGGGGAATGAAGTGAGCATACTTGCTCAATCTATCCATCACCACTAGAATCACAGTAAACCCTTCATATGAGGTAACCCATCTATAAAATCCATTAAGATCTCCTCCCACACACGATCCGGTAGAGCTAAGGGCTACAACAATCCTCATAGAGCCATGGCCATGTACTTATTCCTCTGACAGATCTCACAACTGGCTATCAACTCCTCAACATCCTTGTGCACCCCTTCCAATAGAACCCTAAAGTGAGTCTCATGTATGTCTTCAGCATCCCTGAATGACCCTCAACGTACAACACTCCCATGGAACTTCAAAAGCAGGTGTGGAATAGGGACTGATATCCTAGGCACCATAAATATCCCCTAGTACAAAAGTCTCTCCCCTTCTAGAGAATAGCCCGGGTGACTAATCCCAACCTTCAATAAATCTACCCTAATCCTCCCTAGCTCTTCATCCCGCACACTCTCCTCCTTAATGGTCCCCAAATCCAGCATAAGTGGTATCGACACAGCCATGTCCTGTAGCTCCCCTATACATGTAGACAAAGCATCCACTGCCTTGTCCTCTATCCTTGGCCTATACTAAATTTCAAAGTCATATCTCAATAACTTTGATAGCCATATATGATGCTCTTTTGTCACTATCCCTAGTTCCAATGAGAGAAAATCCTCCCTCACCTGAACCCTCTGTAGTCTGTATAGTCAGCACTACTCCCCTATAGATCCCTCGGCCCGTCTCCACTTTTCCCGTATCCATCATAACTCCATAGCACACTGTCTCCACCAATGTCACCCCTAATTGGTCCATGACCTAGTTGAAGATGAAATTGTGGGTAGCCCTACTATCAATCAACACCACCACCTCCATATTTGCTATTTCCCCCTTCACCTTCATGGTATGACTCAGAGTGAATCCTACCACTGAGTTCAGGGAGACCTCCGCCACATCAAGATGCAGATTGTCCTCCTCTGCTACTCCTATCTCACTCCCACCTCCTTCCTCAGTTTCCTCATCATCACGAATGGTGAAAACCTGAAGAGTTCGGTTCCTGTACATGTGCCATGGAGCATACTTCTCATTACATCAGAAGCATAATCCCTTCGCCCCCTTCTCCTGCATCTCTCTCTCATCAACCTTTTGAAGTTCCCCCCACTTCCTTCTCCTACAGGCTTCTCCCTTGGGGTCTCACGAAGGTTTCCCGGTGTAGGGCTCTTAGGTGCTAAGAGAGTAGTGGTTATCCTGTAGGAGCCACCTGAACTGCTGCCTCTGGCTTCCCTCTCCCGGTACTTCTAATCATCCACCAGTTGGGCTAACTCCATAGCCTCTCTCTAAGTCATGAGGTCTCATGACTCTCATTGTTTCTCGTATCTCTAAATTTGTGCCCCTTCATGAAATTCTCCTCAAAAGCGGTCTTAGACAGCCGATCCAATCGACTCGCTAGATACTCAAATCGTTCGCGATATTTTGCTATTGAGCCTTCATATACTAGGGCAAAGAATTGCTCATAGAAGCCCCCACCCGTGCTAGTTCGGAAACGTTTTAATAAGCATTCTTTGAACTCCCTCCAGCTTCGTATGGGCCTCATGTCTATCCACTGGTAACAACCCAACATCTTTCCTTTTAAACATAGGCCAGCTGCCATTAATTTCTCCTCTTCAGTCAACCCATTGACGGCGAAGTATCTCTCTACCTTGTAAATCCACTCATGTGCGTCCTCCCTTCAAAGATATGCATCTTTAGTTTCTAGACCTTTTGTCCCCCCCCCCTACCCTTTTTTCCCCCCCCCCCCCCATTTCCCCTGAATCCTCCATAATTTTTCCTTCCCCAAGTGGATGGCCCTCCCCAAGTGTCCTGATCCTCCCTTCCGCATTCATACACAAACCCTCCTTCCATTTCCCCCCTCCTTCCATCAAAATCAGCACCTCTCCGGCCATAACCCCCCAGTTTCCTTTCCCAATCAGCACCTCTTTGCCCATTCCCCGCCTTTCCCCATATCTTCCACCTCTCTCCTCCCTTTGGAAATGTTCAAAATGGGGTCTTCTTTCTTCTCCATCTATGATCTCTACCTCATTTTCATCCCTACGAATGTCAGAATTCATATTTTTCCCTTCCGGACCTCTTATCTCTGGTGCCGTCATTTGGTTGTAGAGATCTAACATTTTTTTCAGCATGTCCCGTAGATCCGAGAATTGTTCTTCAATGGAGGAAATTCTATCATCCACTATTACTTTGATTTGATTCATCTCCCCCTCAATACGTTCTTCTATAGCATCCACCTTCTTAGCTGTCATCATTACCCGGATCTTTGTTTGCCTAAAAAATTATGAGTTCGTCCCCAAAAATAGCAAAAACACCCATTTGAATTGAAAAAACTGTTGCAGGAATTTGCCAAAACAGCCCCAAAATACAGCCCGGACCTCACTCATTTGATAGAAAATGCTTGTAGATTCAAATGTTACATATCAGTCTTGGGAAATCAGCGAGAAAACTCCACCAAACTCCAAGAAAAACTAGAAACCAGTAGATATTTTTGTATTATTGGATGAAAGGAATAGGAAAACACCAAGATACAATTGATCCTCTATTCGAGAGGAGTATCTATCTCTCCCAATTCTCTAGACGCCGCTAGAGCCCAAGAATGCCAAGCATAAAACAAAAATCAACCGCCAAAAAGATGTCTTAACCCTAATACAAACTTCTACTAAAAGTAAATAACAAAATAATGCAAAAAGACTAAACATCCATTCTTCAGAATCTTAAGAAGTGGACCCCACCCCAATAGGAGGGGATTTGAGGCTGGCAACAACAGCAGGCTTATGTCTGTTGTAATTAGTGGGCCGGCCCAAGGGTTGGGCCGGATGGACCAGTCCCTCCTGTGTTTATATCAGAATGTATATGTATACATATATACATATGAAGAGAGAGAGAGAGAGATTATCTATTCGAGTCGAGCATAATCAAACAAGCTCTTGTTCATGTTTGACTTATTTAGTAAATGAGTTGAAAATTTATGTTTATGCTTTGCACTTTAATTAAATGAGCCTAACTCTAACTAGTTATCAAACAAGCTTTTGTTCATGTTTGACTTTTTTAGTAAATGAGTTGAAATTTTATGATAAAGCTCAGCACATTAATTAATTAGCCGAACTCTAAATGGTTATTGAGTTATTCAATCAACATCAAGTTTTTTTTACATCTCTACTCCTGAATATGATACAACTTCGATGGTTTGCTGAAAACTATAAGACCTTGATGCCAATTGAATACCATATGAAGTTTTCAAATTAAACTAAATAATAAAAAAAATGAAACTCTTTTATTTGTTAAATAAAAATTTTGCAAGAAATTCCATATCGGGTTTTGTTAATGAGGACAACTTCTGCCTAATTGCTTAAGCATAATAAATATTTACATATCCCAAATCTTGATCACAACATCTCTAAATACTTCTTAATAATTGTGCCGCAGATTCTTCCTGGGTCAACAGAATCATTAGGGGTGACCATCTTGAAGTCTCGTGGAACCTTTACAGAAGCAAAATGGTATTGGATAGGTTTTGGAGCATTGATTGGCTTCATATTCCTTTTTAATTTTCTTTTCACGGTGGCTCTTACCTTTGTAAAACGTAGGTATCATTCCAACTAAGTATCCACATAAACGTACCATACAATATTAACATTATGTAAATTAAAGTAGATGAACCATTCCTCCATATCATTGTAGCATTTGGAAAATCCCAGCCAATCATATCTGAGGAGACGTTGAAGGAGAAACAAGCAAATATTACTGGAGAGATAACTGAAATATCATCAACAGCAAAGAGCTCTGAAGGTTTTTCCACATCCAAAACTAGACGTATTGTTAAAGATTTGATGATTTATATCTTCTGCTAGCTATCTCTTCTTGTTTTAACAAACCAACTTGTAACTGGAACAGGGAATGAAAACAGGATTGGAACAAAAAATGTAGAAGCCATTGCAGAATCCAAATTGAACAAGAAAGGAATGGTTCTTCCTTTTGCACCACTTTTAATGACATTTCAAAATATAAGATACTCAGTGGACATGCCACAGGTAATCTATAAATCGTATATGTGTTGTACCTTGATGTATAGTATGCCAATTCATCTAACATACCTAGTCAAAACCTACACTTAACAGGAGATAAAGGCACAAGGTGCTCAGGAAAACCGATTAGAACTTCTAAGGGGTGTAAGTGGATGTTTTAGACCAGGTGTGCTCACAGCTCTAATGGGTGTAACTGGAGCAGGTAAGACTACATTGTTGGATGTCTTGGCTGGGAGAAAAACTGGAGGATATGTAGAGGGGAGCATAATGATAAATGGGTATCCAAAGAAACAAATAACATTTGCTCGAGTGTCAGGATACTGTGAACAGAATGATATACATTCCCCTCTCGTAACAGTTTATGAATCCCTAGTCTATTCTGCATGGCTCAGATTGCCGGTTGAAGTAGATTCTTCAACAAGAAAGGTTTGTGAAGAAACATTCCTTATTTCCTCAGCAACTTTCTTTCACGTGTTTTGCATGGACTAAGATAAATTTTATTGACCATAGATGTTTATAGAAGAGGTTATGGAGCTTTTGGAACTTGCTCCGTTGAGGGGGGCACTAATAGGATTGCCAGGAGTGAATGGCTTAACAAGGGAGCAACGAAAGAGGCTAACAATTTCTGTTGAGCTTGTTTCTAATCCGACAATTATATTCATGGATGAGCCTACCTCTGGGCTTGATGCAAGGGCTGCTGCAATAGTTATGCGAACTGTGAGGAATATTGTAGACACAGGAAGAACAGTGGTGTGCACAATCCATCAGCCTAGCATTGATATATTTGAAGCTTTTGATGAGGTAAGGAATCAATAATTTAATTAATTAATTCATTATTATCATAATCATTATTAGTCTTATCCCAACCATTATTGATCGATTTTATGAATCCTTATTTTTCAATCCTTCCAACTAATTGTTATCTAGGATGTTAAACCTCTTCTTCGCAAGTGCTTTTGAATAACTTCAATCAAAATTGTCTTATGTCTACCACTTCTACTTCTTAATATGCTAACACTAATCAGTACATTAGCTAATATAAGTTTTTGTATTGTAAATTATTGATGTCTTTTAATTGAATTCAGCTCTTTCTAATGAAGAGAGGTGGCCAAGAAATTTATGTAGGGCCATTAGGTCATCATTCTTGTCATATTATTGAGTACTTTGAGGTAAGGCCCTTAAGGCTCATGTTTCCTCTATTTTTTTTTTTTTTTCTAAAACCTATGAAACATGAGTAAATCTAGGATTCCACTTTAGCAGAGATTTGAAGGAGTGGGCAAGATAAAAGATGGCTATAATCCCGCAACATGGATGTTAGAAGTGACTACGAGGGCACAAGAAGAAAGGTTGGGCATTGATTTCAGTGATTCTTACAAGAACTCTGCGCTATTTCAGTGAGTTGAATTCGTAGTCTTTCATATCTATGTTTTGCTTTGAGAAAGGATCTACTGTAATCTTACACAAAATTTCATGTTAATGCAGAAAGAACAAGTCTTTGATCACGGAGCTGAGCATACCTCCTCCTGAATCAAGTGATCTTTACTTCGCAACCAAGTACTCACAATCTTTCGTTTCACAATGTATGATTTGCTTATGGAAACAACACCTTTCATACTGGAGAAATCTTCCATACACTGCAACGAGGTATTTATTCACATCGGGCATAGCCTTGATCTTTGGAACAATTTTCTGGGATCTTGGTAGTAAAATGTAAGTTAATATTTATTCAATTGCATCAAAATACTGGTATCCTATTTCCATTCTCTCACATATCAATCATGAACTTATGCATTATAATTACGAATGGCTTACAATAGGAGAAAACAACAAGACTTATTCAATGCAATGGGCTCAATGTATACTGCTGTTTTATTCATCGGGGTGTCAAATTCCTCCTCTGTTCAACCAGTGGTGTCAGTTGAGCGAACAGTCTTTTATAGGGAAAGAGCAGCAGGAATGTACTCAAGTTTACCATATGCATTTGGACAGGTGATTTTTCTTACACTACCATTTATGCTATGAGCACAGTAAATAGATACCAAAAGTCCCAAATGTCACAAAACTAACGTTGCATCTTCATGTGTAGGTCGCAATTGAGATCCCATATGTATTGGGTCAGGCTATCGTTTATGGGGTCATAGTCTATTCAATGATTGGATTTGAATGGACAACTGCCAAGTTCTTTTGGTATTTGTTCATTATGTATTTCACGTTCCTATACTTCACATACTATGGAATGATGTGTGTGGGCTTCACACCCAATTTAAACGTGGGTACGATAGCATCTACATGGTTTTATTTATTATGGAATCTTTTCTCGGGTATGATAATTCCACGACCGGTAAGTTGTAATTTGCAGATAGTTTTGTTTAATTTAATGTGGATGGAACTAAAAAGATTATTTTCAACAGAGGGTTCCGGTATGGTGGAGATGGTATTTCTGGGCATGCCCAGTTTCATGGACACTTTATGGATTGGTAGCTTCACAGTTTGGAGATATAGAAGACAAGCTTGACACTGGTGAGGTTGTCTCTCATTTTGTGAGAAACTATTTTGGATTCAGACATGATTTCTTAGGAGTAGTTGCAGCTGCAATTGTTGGGTTTCCAACACTCTTTGCCTTCTTGTTCGGATTTTCAATTAAAGCTCTGAACTTCCAAAGAAGATGAAGGCATCCCCATGAAGTTAGCCAAGATGTCATGGTGGCAGGAATTTAAAATCTATTCATGTTTTCACTATTCTTCCATGAAAAGAAAGAAATGTTACACTGCATCCATGTATTCTCATCAACAATAAGTTTTTAGGCAAAAATTAGGAGGCCCTGGCAGTTTGTATCATATATGATTAAACATTAATTAAATAACTAAATATTACTTTTTTTAGAAGTTTCTAGATGCAAAATTAGGGGGTGGAATCGGCATATTCACTTTATAAACATTCTGATATTAATGAATAAAAAGATATATTCCTCCTAAATTAATGACCAGAGGATGATGCTCTTAAAGCTATTTCTTACTTCTTAGATATACCAGTGCAAATATATAACTTGAGTGACAAATATTAGGAAGAGGTGTTAACACCTATTCAAACTCAATTCATTTTATAGAATGAAATGTGAGCAAAATACATTTATTTTTGAATGGTTTTATATAGCAGCTTGGTTAGTGCAAGTGTTGTACTTATGAAGATATCCAATCGTTTCTTTCATAACAACTCCCGCTAAACATAATTATTTATCTATATGACTTTGTTATAGCACTCAGGCCCTCCTCCATCCATAAGCACATGCATTTAAGAGAATGAAAATAACGGTTAGTAATCTTGTGAGTTTTTTGACCTTCTGACTTGAGTCGCAAGTGTGCTTAGGTTACTCTTGATTTTCATGTGGTGTTTCTCGTATCTATTCTAGACTAGCAACTTCTCCAGTTAAGCGTACTTTTTAGTGGAGGTTTCTTTTGACAAGTCTTGAGTTGTTGTATGATAAAAGTTCATTAAATATAATATTTGTATTCCAAATAACTCTTTACCCTTTATCAATCTCAGGTTTTAATTTTGATATTGTGGCCTAATTTAGGTAATATCAGCTTGATGCCAAGTTAGAAACCACATTTTTAGCCTTTTTTTTTTTTTGTCATTAAACATAATGAAGACAAAACTAAAGAGATTCAGGAGGAAGCTTCTTTTCTACCTATGATGGAAAGGAAGTGGATCCCGGAATTTAAGAGTAAACTTTTAGACAAGGGAGCCTTCTATCAATGGGGAGGCTAGTCTTGCCTGTTTAAATTTGCTTATCCACAAGGTCATACTATTGGCTTTTGGATTTATCTGGCTTGTCCTTTTCATTATGCCTATAAGGAAAAATTAGACACTCTATCACCATCATTGCATTTTCTGAAAGTTGGACTAGATGTTCCAACTTGAGTGCATGCCCTGATTAGAAGCTAAGAGCTGTAATAACCTTAATTTTCACATAGTTAAAGACTCATTAATGGCCTAATTGATCCCTATGAAAATTCTTACATGCATGAACATTTATGTGGGAGTGTTGTGGCACTATTCTTGCGAGCGTGGTGATCCTAGCCTCACTGTATTTTGAATTCTGGCCATGAAAACATAAACAACTTTCAATATTATTATATATCATAAACATTTGCATGAGTTTATACCCTGGTTTATATTTTTGTTGATGATATTCTTCCTGTTGATAAGACTAGAGAGGGAGTTTAAGAAAAACTTGAATTATAAAGATTAAACATATAGTCTAAAGGTTTCCATTTAAGTAGACCTAAAACTAACTACAGTATAATTTTAGTAGTAATAGATCTAGTGGGAGGATTGTGACTTTTGGTGATCAAATCATTGATAAGAATACATGTTTTAGATATCTCAGGTCTATTGTTTAAAGTGATGGTGAAATAGATGAGGATATTATTAGTAGAATTCAAGTTAGATGATTAAGTGGAGGAATGCATAGGGCATGTTGTGTGACATATAAGTACCCCTCAAACTTCAGTGAAATTTCTATAAAAAGTTGGTTGGTGAGACCTACCATGCTTTATGGCATAGAATGTTGGCTATTAAAACAGAAGCATAGAATTAACTATTGCAAAGTTGAGGATGCTCAGGTGGATGAGCGGCTTCACTCATAGAGATAGAATGTGAAACAAGTATATTCATAAAAAGGTTGGAGTAGCTCCAGTGGCACATAAAATTAGAGAGAGTCACCTTAGATGGTTTGGTCATATTAAAAGTTGGTCTTCCGAAGGAGAAATTATTTTGTGCGAACACCAGATGTAGCTCTACATCCGGACTCCAATAAAATACGGAAATGTGAAATTTTAATATTTCTATTATTTATCATACGACCCGACGGGCTGATCCGATCGAGACACTCTTTTTAACCTTTTTAAAAAAAGAAACCCGGGAAAGCACCCAAGTATTTAGGGTTTTGGTAGGCTGCAAAATATCACGTTTTAGCTGCTAAGAAAGATAAATTGAGAAACAGGCGAAGAAGATGGAAACTGGTTTGGACGACATTCATTCACCGAGAAGATGGAAGGCGATATACAAAACGTCCAGGAAGAGTTACTACATCCAACCATAGGAGAAAAACTAGGGTTATTATCGTTAAATTTTAAACTCCTCCCATGTTTTACTATTTTTCCTTTGAATATGTAGTTTTTTAGGGTTTAATGGTGTATTCATCAATTATTTGTGTCGAAAAAAGCGAAGAAGCGTGATTTTTCGGGTTTAGGGTGTATTCTTTAAATTATGTTTATTTGTGAAATTATGTTAAAATTTTATTTTTCTTACTACGCACCGTATAGTGCTGTGTATTGCCGTGTATTATTTTAAACTGAGTTGTGTATTTTTTTGTATTAGGCCGTATATTTGTTATGTATTGAGTTGTGTATTGTTGTGTACAACAATACATTACTACGTATTGTTGTGTATTATTATGTATTGTTGTGTATCAAGCTGTATATTGAATTGTGTATTATTGTGTGTTGAGCTGTGTATTGATGTGTATTGATGTGTACTATTGTGTACTGAGCAGTGTATTATTGTGTACTAGTGTGTATTGAGCTGTGTAATTATGTATATTAAACTGTGTATTGTTGGGTATTAATGTGTATTGAGCTGTGTAATGCTATGTATTGAGTTATGTACTGCTGTATTTTGAGCTGTATATTGAAATGTGTATTGTTGTGTATTGAGTTGTGTATTGAGCCACGTAATGTTGTGTATTGAGCTGTGTATTGCTATGTAATGAGATGTATATTGATATGTGTATTATTGTGTATTGTTATGTATTGAGCTGTGTATAACTGTGTATTGTTGTGTATTGAGTTGTGTATTCTTGTATATTGTTGTGTATTGAGCTACGTACATGCTTAGATTCAACGTTTTAAGTAGTTTTTGCATGCACACAAGGTGTTTATAATTGTGAGAATGAAGCATAAGATATGTATTGCAATTATGCTCATACTATTGATTTTAGTGTTTGTAAAAAATATCATAGTTATTGGTCGAACTCCAGAAAGATAAGATTTTATAACTCAAAATTTTAAAAGTTGTATTTTTACCTACAACAATCAAGAATTTATTCAGGAGTCATTATAAGCTCTAATTATAAATCGTCTTCTCCATAACATCTTTATTGTTGTGTTTAATTTATTTTTTAATTTTTCATAATTTTTTGGAACTATTGAAATTCTTTAAGAAATTGGCACCTAACGATACAAGTGGGGTTTTGGGATCATCAGATGTCCATTTTGCAAACCGAATTCATATAAATTTTCTAAATAAAATAAGTTATTTATGAATATTTTTCTATAATTTTTAAAGCCCTAAAAAGATTTTTATGAATTTTATACTAAAAATTAATTATAATAATATTATTATTTTATATAATAATCTAAAACCATTATAGACTTTATTTAAATAACCATTTAAATCCCTTTTTTTCTTATTATTTCCGCTAACAGAGAACATTTGGGGGGGAAAATGAGAAGAGAGGAGAGAATGAATGAAGCTAGGCTTTGACAGTCATAGAGCGATTTTAGTTAACCGAGATGGGTTTCTGTTATGTGGTGCCAGTTGGCGATCGAGGAGAGATTATATTATGCCGGTGTCAGTGGATAATCAAGGTGGGTTTCTGTTATGTCAGAGCCAATGGGCTACCAAGATAGAATTATGTTATGAAGTGTTTCTGATGTAGAACAGGTAGGAGGATTGAATCCTATGGGTCTTGAAGATACAGGACGGCACGTCAATGATGTTGGAAGATGTGGACAGCCAATTGGATTTTCCAAACAGCACCAAATAAACAAGACATTCAAAGCTCCGGTGTGGTGTTTATGTGCTTGAGCGGACGTAGAAAGCAACCTCGATTCTTCTCGATGTCGTTGGATAGCAATCTAAACTTTAAAGCCAGCAAAATAGCAATAGGAGATTGCTGCGATTGCTGTACAGCAACTTTGACACTTGGGAAATTCTGGACAGCAAGTATTAGTGATTCTGGATAGTTCCGGGCAGCAACGGTTGCTCCCAGAGGGGTTGGGCAGCCACTATAGCATCCAGAAATTTCTGGACAGCAAGTAAAGATGTGTAAACAGCAGCACATGAGGATCAGGACAGCAGTGAGAAACCTTCCTGGTGGTGGTCCGGTAAAGGAAGTCTTGCTGGAGTGAAGGGAAACAAGTTGTTCTTCTTTGGACAGCAGTTGAGAAGATTCCAGTTGGTGGGAAGACCGGGAGAGAAGCAGGAGTTCACTAGACAGCAACTTGCAACGTTGGGGAACACCCTGGACAGCTTCTATAAAGCACTGGGAGCTTTGGACCACAACGTATGGCCTTCAGGGATACAGGACAGCACGTCACATGCTGGAATACAGGGACAACCAGCAGGAATCACATGGACAAGAGAGGAGAACGTGGGGAAACTATTGGGAGGTAACGCTTGTGGTTGGGACAGGTTTGGAAAGGAGAGTTAGAGAGTATATGGGGAGGATTTAATTCAGTAGGAGGGAAAACAAAGGACGGCAGCTTAGGTTGAGATTTGGGTGGGGAATTAATGGGAGTAGTTATGGAGATTAATGGGATTGGAGAGAGGAAGTGGGCCGGCCAAACATGGGGGATTTAATTGGGGGGATTTAGAATTGCTTTCCAAACTTAGGTTGTTAATTGTGGAAAGAGAACTAGAAAGTAATCTCTAATAAATTTCAGATTTAAGAGGATTTGGGAGTTTCCAAAAATAAATCAATCTCATTAGGAAAGGATTTCAAATTCAATTTAATTGGAATTTGAAATTTGAATTCTTTCCAAATTTAAGATGATTTAAATTAGGAAAGTATTTAATTCTTTCCCACATGAGAGGTTTTATTTTGGAAAGCATTAAGGATGTGGGAACTAGTGGGCAATCAATTCCAACCTAATTCAAATTTGATTTGGATTTGATTGGATAAGTTTCATAAAATAGAACTTTATTTTAGGAAAAAATTCGAATTTCAAATCTGATTGGTTGATTGGAATGAAAGCTTTCCCAAAATGATTTGTATGGAAAAGGAAACAAGTAGAGGAGAGATTTGGAATTTGGAGGCAAGAGGGAGATGGGGATGACGTGATGGTGGAAGTAGGGAGAGGATGAAGATGACGACTAGGAACAACAAGAAGGAACAAAAACGAAAACAAAAGATAAAAGATAAAACCGCGAGCCTTTGACTCTTTCGAAGACTGACGGTTATACGTTGCCCTCCTCCAAAGGACTTCAAGCCACGAGCTCGGATCCATCCTGCGGCTGGTGGAAATTCCGACTCCCTCCCATAGGGATTTCACTAACGTTCTTGCCAAAGAACACAAGTGCAAAACACAATTTTTTTTATAATTCCATCATCCTAATACAAGAGAATGGACCTCTATATATAGGCCTCAAAAGAAATTAAAAGACATATTTGCCCCTTGGGCTTACATAAGACAAGAGGGTAAAAAAAGGGAAATTACAAAATTAAATCAAAATACACTTAACAAACTAAAATAAAACAAAGTGATCTCGGTCGTCGATATTCGATTCTTCCTTTGAATATCGTCCGCCGTCGGATGTCCGCATCAGTTTCCTTATAATTCATTTCATTTCAGTATTTATTTAATTATATTCAATTTCAGTATATGATCAGCACAGTATTCTCAGTTCTTTTAGTTTTGGTTATTGATTTTTATTTTATGCTATGATAACTTACTGAGTCGTGTTAGCTCATTCATGTTTTTATTTTTATATTTTTTGTTTTTTGGCCTAAGGAAGAGTAAGGAGCGAGCTGAGTAGTTGGATAGCACGCTCTGATCTATGTTGTATGTATATTTTGGTTAGTTTTAATTTTTGTATGTTTGACTTCTATTTTGTTATGCTCTCTGTTGTCAAGTGCTGTTGTAGATAGATTTTATATTATATATGTTTTGGATGATATATAGAAAATCATATTGAGATTTAGTAATCTTTCATTTTATATTGCAATTCAATGGTGGCTATGTGTAGCGTATAAATTGAAAGTTTTATTTCAATACTTCTCCAACCAGATCTTGGAGTTAGTCTTGTCATAATCAAACACGATAAGACATGTATGATATCGGGTCATATTGGGTCGGGTTATAACAAAATTTTTTGTATCAGAGCATAGGTTGGAGAAGTAAATTGTAACAGAGCCGTATAATTTAATCTATAGAAGAGTGAGATGCTTCTGGGTAGTTTCTGGTGCTCATTTTGTTTATTTTTTAATATGTATGTGTTGTATTCAACTGTGTATTTTGAGATGGCTGATCCAACTCAGCTAGATCCATATATGACAAATGGTCAGAGTTCTAATCAGGTAGCTAAGGCTCGGGGTATAGCTCCTGCGATTAGTTCTGAGGCAATTTCTCATATTGCAGGTATAGTAGCATAGATAGTTGGTGAGGCTCACACAGAGGCTATTAGTACCTGATCTAATGACATGGATAGATATTTGCAGAATTTCATGAGATTAGTCTCCTAAATTTTCAGGTGTTATTGAGCCTAGAACAGTTGAGAATTGGTTGATGATGATAGAGAAGACTCTGGATGGGATGCATTGTTCTTCTGAGAGGAGAGTTGCATTAGCTGTATTTTTATTTGATTGCGAGGCAGAGCACTAGTGGTTGGGCCAATAGAGAGAGAAGTTTCAGAGTCGTGCAAATACCCTAATTACTTAGGATGAGTTT